TCCTTGAAAGCCTGAAGGTGCTCCTTGGATTCCAGGTTCCTTCATAGAGCTAGGCTGAGAAAAAGTCTCACATATCCGGTATACAGTACCTGTACTCAGAAGGAGTATTAAGATGTCTTTTGGAGTATAATGCTAAGTATACCCATGCTTTCCACGAGAAAATTTTCATTAAAATGCACTATTTGCATGTAAAAAATATATTTCATTTTTTTTTAATTTTTCATAAACTTGTGACAAAAAAATATATAAAACCTTCAAAAGTTTCAATGCTTAGAAAACATCTTGGGTTGTCCACTTTGCAAAAAGGGGTGATTTTGTGGGTGTTTGTACTGTCCTCTTATTTTAGGACCTTTGAAAATGTGATAGGTAGTCAAGAAATCAGATATATGTAATATATATATATATATATATGTAATTGTTGTCCTTTGAAAACCTGAAGGTGCTCATTGGATTTCGGGCTCATCTACACAGCTAGGCTGCAAAACATCGCACACATGTGGTATCCTCATACTTAGGATGAGTAGCACAAAGTGTTTGGGGGTATAACTCTAAGTATGGCTATGCATTGTGTAAGACATATCTCATTAAAATTACAACTTTTTTTCTTTATTTTCCAAAAATGTGTGGCAACAAAAATTAAATGTTCCAAAGACCCATAATGCCTCTCAGTGAACACCTTGGGATGTCTACTTTTTGAGGGTGTTTATACTGTCCTGGTGTTTTAGGACCTCAAGAAATGTGGTGGCAGTCAGCAACAAGGCTAATAAATTCCAAATATAATGTATATGCCATAGTTTATATGCTCTACAACTTCCACACAGACTAATTAATATACTCTTTTACAAAAAGATATATAGTATAATTTGACCTAAAATTATGAATTGGTTATTTGATATATTTTATAACTGAAACTAAGAAAATAAGTTTTTTTCCAAAATTGTAAGTTTTTTTCCTTTATATAAAGGAAATATATATTAAAGCTCCAGCTCATGGGCCTGGTCCAACCAGTGGTCCAGCCTGTGTGCCCAGTAGCCTATTCAATTTTGAATCTAACCTTAGAAGTCCTCGAATGTGCTTATCTAAAATATATAAGTAAAACAATTGATCAGTAGGAGCAATCTGAAAGATACAGAAGGAGGGGGAAGCACTTCTGAGAGTAACCTTTGACAGTCTGACATCCTAAACAACAGCTAATAAGGATCTCCTCGTCTTATTTGGTGATTGTTGTACATGTGAAACATCAGACAGACTTGTTATAAAACATCTGCTCCTAGCCCCAGGCTGATTCTAGTTCCATCCCAGATTCTCCAGCTCCCTCTTGTCAATATTTAAAAGCTGGTCCAGCGGGTATAAAGCCTGTGAAAAGGTAACCTATAAAGTGGATGTGGGATACTGCTTCTCCACCTTTATTTCTTCCTTTTAGACAGATCTAACCCCTCGTGTATCGAATTGTATTGTTATTGTACTGTCTAGTGTATTGTCTCCCATTGCAATGTACAGCGCTGAGCAAACTATTGGCGCTATATAAATCCTGTATAATAATAATCTAAAAAAATGCATATTTTGTAATCAGATATAAATTAGATTTAACTCTGCGGGCAACAGAAGTAGATGACAGCAAGTTAGTTAAAGTGTTACGAAATCCACAACAATAAACAACATATTGCTGCTGATAAAAATGTTGGTTTTGATTCCAGCAAAATATTATACATTGTATTACCTCTATCACTTAGACTCCAAAGTCTCTCCAATCTGTCAACCTTGAAAATCATTTAAAACCACTTGCCCTCCAGAGGATTTACCCCCCATCCTGACCAGGCCATTTTTTGTGTTACTGCGCTGCGTTACTTTAACTGACAAATGCGCGCTTATGCAACGCTGCACCTGAATGAAATTTACGTCCTTTTTTTCCCACAAATTCAGCTTTCTTTTTTTTAATTTAAATATTTATTAATTTTTCAGATAAACAAGTTATACAAACATACTCATTAAAACCTTAGCTTTTATCAAAACATTTATCGTTTCATCCCTCCCCCTACCTATTTACCACCCATCCCCCCCCCATCCAATCCCTGACTCTGCTCTGCATTGTCCTGTTCATTTCTGGAGATTGTAATCCCTATAAAAGAACAAAATATGTTTCCATATTATTCTATGTTAGTCCCCCATAACCTCTAAGGCTAGCCTTGACTTTTTTAATTCCTCCCATTTGTTCCATCTTGTATGGTGACTCTCCATCTCATCTTCATTTAAATGATAAAGTTCCTCCAATTTACATATTTGATCCACCCTATCCACCCAGTCTTTTATTTTCGGCAGCTCCTGTCTCTTCCAATATTTGGGTATCAGTCCCTTTGCTACATTCAAATAGTACGAATTGAGCTTTCTTTAGCTGGTATTTGATCGCCTCTGCGTGTTTATTTTTTGCTCTATAAAAAATAAAAGTCAGACAATTTTGAGAAAAAAAACAATATTTTTGACTTTCTGTTATTAAACATGTCCAGTAAAAAAATGTAAAACATCAAATTCCGCCATAAATTTATACCAAAATGTATTCTGCTACATGTCTTTGCTAAAAAAAAAAATCTCAATACGTGTAAATGAATTGGTTTAGTGAAAGTTATAGCGTTTACAAATGGCGGTATAGAAACTGGAATTTTTTTTTTTTATATTTTTTACTAGTAATGGCGGCAATGAGCGAATTATAGCAGGACTGTGGCAGGCATTCTGATACTGGGGGGAACTGACTTGGTGTCACTGACATTCCCAGTGACACCAATACAGTGATCAGTGCTAAAAAAGAGCACTAAGACTGTGCTAATGGCACTGGTCAGGAAGGGGTTAACATGAGGGGCGATCAAAGGGTTAACTGTGTACTGTTTCACAATAAGCTCTGTGTGTGTGCTTCACTGTAATCAAAGCCATCCAAAGCAGTGTGCACGAGCTAACAGGGAGGAGAACTGTATTGATGCTCGGGCTCACTGGGCGCCAGCGAGTAATCACTGGAACCCAATGACTGAAAGCCGTGAAAGGCAGCACGGGTAGGACGTGTACGCGCCTCGCGCGCGCCCCCGCTCCCTGGAAATGCAAAATCACGTATATATACGTGATTTTGCTCACCCGTGCTGCCCTGTAGCAGTATATCTGCTATAGGGCGGTCAGGAAGCGGTTAAATTATACCATCCCAGAGCTAACTTTGCTGCTGCTTCATAACAAGCCAGGCTGCTCTTTCTCACATATGTGTTTTAAGAGCCATCAGATAAGGTAATAAGGTTAATCCTCATTAGCTATTGTTTACCATGTCAGACTGTTGAAAGCTACTCTCATAAGTGCTCCCCCCTCCCTCCAATACTCTACAGGGCTCTCATTTCCAATGAACACTCCTATGAACATTTTCAGCACATTTGCAGACATGATTAATGTAGTGTGTAAGCACTTCAAAATTACATTTGCTTTTAGCATTCAATGTTAGAATGAATGGACCTTGCTGAATGAAAACCACATACACTTTATAAAATTTGTTCTTTTGAGAAAAAATTTCCATCCTGCTCCCTAGAAGTTTTGCATCACTATTCTCGAACAAATGTTGAGTTGACCCCAGTAACGATTAGAAAATCAAAAAATGTGAACAAAATTATTCTAGTATATGACCTGCTTATGTATCAGCTCTAGACCCAGTGTTGTCAGAAATCATGTGGTTAAATGGTTGGGCCTGGTCAATGTGGTATAAAAAAAAAAATACTTAATAGCAGTGCTAAGGCATCCACCACCTCCGCCGCTGCTCCTCCTTTCAGTGGTTGGAGGATGGGAGGCATGTTGGTCATCAGAGGGATATCTACCAATATGAGAAAATGTGGGAAAGAGGCACCTCCTCAAAGTACAGCATTTTGGGCTCTTTCTGGGATGGCAGCAATAAATCAGCTATTTTACTCTATTTTAGCTATTTTATATGAGGAATCCAACAGAGTGGCCACTCAGTAGTGGTCATTCTGTCTGATGCCCCAAACCCTACCACAAATTGCCTTCAGCTCACAGACATAGAGGACTCTGAGTCCTCTGCGTCCTCAACAATATTACCCCATGTGCATGGATTTGGGGGGGGGCAAAATGTTCCCCTTGAAGCCTGCCCCATTTCTTCCTCCTCACCGTTAGTCCCCTCTCCCACCCTCTTCCTCATATTCCTCCTCAGCTTGCAGCTACCTCTACCTTAAATAGATGGAGGCAGTAAGCAAAGGATCCTACTGGCCCTGAAACAGCAAGAAGTCCTCCTCTTCCTCCTACTGCTGTGCCTCAAGGGCCTGGCCTAACAGGTCACATGCTCCAAAGAGAACAGAAGAGGGATTGCAACACTAGTCTCTCCCCCATCATGGTTCACCATTTTGGAAGCCTCTTCAAAATGTAGGAAAATGCAGTAGCTAAATGGCCTCTACAGTTGTTGCTTAAATACGCAAAAAATGAAAAAATCTGGTCTCTGATATGTAGCCCACCACACTGTATTCCATAGTAATTTAGTGTAGTGTTTCTCAAACCTTTTTCCGGTCAAGGCACCTTTTAAAATGATGGACAATCTCGAGGCACCCCATTATAAAATGTAAAAAAATGAACCTAGTAGTTTTCCATATTACAGCAGCCTCTACACACATAAGACACCCAACATTAGAGATGACTTATTATTTCAAAGCAAATACATTTTTGCACACTGGTATTTACTAGTATTTGAGCAATTCTTCTTCCTCATTTTCTCTTCCCCATGCAGCTGACATGATCCCTATACTGACGGAGAGGGGTGGAAGGTCAGACAAGGTTATTCTGCAAGTGCCTGATGTCCTCTTATCAACCAATGATGTCAATGGTTGTTAGGGAACTTGTGGTTTTGTGTAACAAAAAAAAAGCAGGCTTGCTTCACCCACTGCCAAAATAGTTCTCTTTGTCTCTCCCCGAGACCTACTCCTACTCTCCCTATCTTTGATCCTTCTTTCCTTCCTTCAATCCCTGCTTTCTTCAGTTGATCCTTCCAACCTATTTTTGATCAGGGTTGCTCTCAGTAGCTCAGTGAATTCAAGCGTGGTACCGTGATAGGTTGTCACCTGTGCAATAAGTCCATCAGTGACATTTCCTTGCTACTAAATATTCCACCATCAACTGTTAGTGATATAATAAAGTGGAAGCAACTGGGAACAACAGCAACTCAGCCACAAAGTTGTAGGTCACGTAAAATGACAGAGAGGGATCAGTACATGCTGAAGCGTACAGTGCGCTGAGGTCGCCAATTGTCTGCAGAGTCAATAGCTAAAGACCTCCAGACTTTGTGTGACCTTCAGATTAGCACAACAACAGTGAGAAGATGGCTTCATGGAATGAGTTTCCATGGCCGAGCAGCTGCATCCAAGCCTTACATCACCAAGTGCAATGCAAAGCGTCGGATGCAGTGGTGTAAAGCAAGCCGCTACTGGACTCTAGAGCAGTGGAGACGTGTTCTCTGGAGTGACAAATCACGCTTCTCTGTCTGGCAATCTGATGGACGTGTCTGGGTTTGGCGGTTGCCAGGAGAATGGTACTTGCCTGACTGCATTGTGCCAAGTATAAAGTTTGGTGGAGGGGGGATTAGGGCGTGGGGCTGTTTTTCAGGGGTTGGGCTTGGCCCCTTAGTTCCAGTGAAGGGAACTCTTAAGGCGTCAGCATACCAAGACATTTTGGACAATTTTATGCTCTCAACTTTGTGGGAACAGTTTGGGGATGGCCCCTTCCTGTTCCAACACAACAAGCGCACAAAGCAAGGTCCATAAAGACATGGATGAGTGAGTTTGGGGTGGGGGAACTTGACTGGCCTGCACAGTCCTGACCTCAACCCCATAGAACACCTTTGGGATGAATTTATTGCATCTACAGACTGATTTCACTGTTGTGGGTTTAGTAACACTTTAACGAATCAAAACAAAAAAACGAAACACATTTTTTTGTTCTGCACATGTCAAATAAATGTTAACCCCTTGCCTACCAGGTACTTTCACCCCTTCCTGCCCAGGCCAATTACCAGCTTTCAGCGCTGTCGCACTTTGAATGACAATTGCACGGTCATGCAACATTGTACCCATATGACATTTTTATCATTTTTTCACACAAATAGAGGTTTCTTTTGGTGGTATTTAATCACTTTTGGGGTTTTTATTTTCTGCGCTATAAACAAAAAAAGAGCAAAAAAATTGAAAAAAAAGGGTTTCTTTGCTTCTATTATAACATTTTGCAAACAGGTAACTTTTCTCCTTCACTGATGTGCGTTAATGAGGCAGCACTGATGGGCAGTGATGAGTTGGCACAGATTGGCAGCACGGATGGGCACTGATAGGCTGCACTGATGACATGGCACTGGTGGGCATTGTTGAGGAGGCACTGATGATGCTGCACTGATATGCAGCAATGATGGGCACTGATAGACGGCACTGACTGATTGCACTGATTGGCGGCACTGATGGTTAGCACTGCTGGGCACTGATGGGCAGTACTGATGGGTGGCACTGCTGTGCATTGGTGGGTGGCATCGATGGGCACTGGTGGGAGGCACTGCTGAGTACTGATTATCAGTGCAGATTTGCTCTGTGACATGTGCCAGTTATCGGCAGTACTGTGACAGTGTGAGGAAAGTGCTGCCGATAACTGGCAACTGTATTTACTTCGTGATCTGCTGTGTCATTGGACACAGCTGATCACGTGGTAAAAGGCTGCTGTGATTGGCCTTTTACCTATTCATGTGATCAGCTGTGTCTATAGGACACAGCGATCATTGACAGCGCAGGGTGCTTGCTGCTGGGGGCGCACGTGGGGCATGTTCTGTGAAGACGTCATATGAAGTCGTGGATTGACTGTCATCACAGCCTGGACTATGCTGGTGCCTAGCAATGGGGCATGGAGTGGATTCCCATTGACTGATGTTGGGCGGGAACTATTAGACTGCATTGATTTGCACTGATAGGCTGCACTAATGGGCACTGGTAGGCTGCACTGATGGGCACTGATAGGCTGCTCTGATTGGCACTGATAGGCTGCACTAATGGGCACTGATAGGCTGCACTGATTGGCACTGATAGGCTGCACTAATGGGCACTGATGAGGCTGCACTGATGGGCACTGATGCGGCTGCACTTATGGGCGCTGATAGGCTGCACTGATGTGCACTGATAGGCTGCACTAATGGGAACTGATAGGCTGCACTGATGGGCACTGATAGGCTGCACTGATTGGCACTGATAGGCTGCACTAATGGGCACTGGTGAGGCTGCAATGATTATTTTCACACAAATAGAGCTTTCTTTTGGTGGTGTTTAATCACCGCTGGGTTTTTATTTTTTGCTAAATAAATGAAAAAAAGACAAAAAAATCTGAAAAAATAACCCTTTTCTTAGTTTCCTTTATAAAATTTAGCAAATAAGTAATTTTCTTCTTCACTGATGTCTGTTGATGAGACTGCACTGATTGGCACTGATAGGCTGCACTGATAACTAGCAAGTGTGCTTACACGTGATCAGCTTTACCCCAATCTGTCCCAAGGACACAACAATCACAAAATGCACCTGATGCTCTCTGCAGGAAGCACGTTTGGGGTGTGGTTCTGGGGGGATGTCTATGGATGTCCTCCCAGAACTGGATGACCATGCTCTAGACGTCTTTCGGCTGATATTATGATTGTTACAATCTCAGCATTGTGATTTTACAGAAGGTTGATGTTTGGCTTTTCAGCTGCATCTACATGAACTTATTTCTTGAGCTGCCTGCTTCAGTCAGAAGTGGATATATACCCCAATACAAAGTCATTTCTCAGATTATGTATATGTCGCACTACCCCCTTGGCCCTTGGGAGTTGCTAAGAGAATTTGATCTCCCTATGTTCCTGCGCAGCCAGTCGTTCAGCATTTTCCACACAAGCGTTCATCTGGAGACAGAAATCAATCCTTGAGCATTGGTTTTGTTATTTTATTGAGGGGATTAAAAGTTGGATAGGGTAAGGGGGGGGGGGGGGTATAGGATGCCCAAGGGAACCGATATCTGAGGACAACTTCCTGAACTATTCACAACTTCTCCTTCTTGAAGTAACACTGTTGAAGTGCTAGCCAGCAGCTCCTGCTTGTACAACCCCAGACCCTAGATGAATTCCTCTTCACCCAGCAATCTGGAGACTTTTTTCCTGAGCAGGGAACTGGCTCTTGTCCGTGTAATTGAGGTGCACAAGCACTAGTAGGGGGCTAATCTGATTTCCCACCAGCGTGCTCCTTCCTCTATCCGCCCAGGGAGTGCAAGTGTCCTCACTCAGATCTTCTCCTGCACCACTTGTGGGTTGGCTGCTGCTACCAGGCCTACAGCTGGGCTGCTCCATCCCTGCCATACAGGTGATCCGCTCTCAGATGGCCAGTGAGTCTCAAGTTTTCCTCCTTTCCAGCTCCAGGCTCTCAGGCAGGCCCCATCTCACTAGGCCTCCTGGCAGCTTTCCAGACCGGAAACCTGCGCTTGTAAAAATGAAGTCTGCACGTGTATCCAGCACTAAAAAATATCCGTTCCCGACCCTGTCCGGGATTTCACAATGACAGTAAGCCTTCATTCTCAACCAGTAAGCCTTTATAGAAATGCTTACACAGGCGTTTTGGGGGGGGGGGGGGGCATATTTGCTATGCGCAAGTATATTCAGTTTTTTGTGTTTTGTTTTTTCAAGTGATCTTTCATACATACCCCCTCCCACCACCACCACACAATCACCACCACAACCACCACCACCCTCCCACCATCACTACCACCAACATCACCCTCCCACCACCACCACCACCCTCCCACCATCACTACCACCACCACCACCCTCTCACCGCCACCACCACCCTCCCACCATCACCACCCACCACCATCACCCTCTTACCGCCACCACCAGCCTCCCACCACCACCACCAGCCTCCCACCATCACTACCACCACCACCACCATCACCCTCCACCATCACTACCACCACCACCAATTGGCTGAGGTCCCTCAATAGTACAGCCAACCACTCCTCACATCCACCCACTGCCTCCAAAGCCCTCCTCCAAAAGCCTCAGAGCAAGGGGAAATTCCACGAGGGGCTGGCCTTCAGAGTCTCTCAGTCTTGACCATAATTTGACCCCTCTGGCTTTTACACCCGAGCTGCTAAGCAGCCTCCTGACTAACCATTAGGGCTAGCTCCCCCTAGCTGCACTAAGAGGGTGTTACACATATACATATGTGGAGATTTAGACATTTCAGATATTGTTGGTTTATGTTAACAAAGATTATTGATCAACAGGGTCTGAATGTTCCAAAAATGTACAAGGACTTCTGCATCTTGATATATTAAATATATATATATATATATATATATATATTTATATATCAAGATACACGAGTCCTTGTACGTTTTTGGAACATTCAGACCATGTTGATGTGTGTGTGTGTTTCTTGAATACTTGTGGTTTAGATATATAGATATATTTAGCAATTTGGAATCGTAAGAGCTTGCCATTGCCTATAGATGTTTGTTAGAGTGTCTTTTATTAGATATTGAATTTTTTAATACAATGATATTAAAAGAAATGTATTTCTTAATTTTTTTTTTTCCTTGTTGATATCCTTTGCCGGAGTGACTGACAAACCATGCTTCTGGTTACCAGTATTTCTAAGGAAAAGTCAGGTTACAACCTGGTTCTGGTGTCTGGTGGGACTGTGTATATCACTGGATTGGATGGAAAGAAAAAAAAAATCTTTTGGAAGGTAAAATAACTCTCTTAGTAATTATGTGTTTGTCTTGAATTTACCTTTATTGTTAAGCTGGAAAGTGTGGACTTCTAATGTGTGAACAATACTAATGAAGAATTAATAATGTCTTGTTTCGGGAAGATAGTGAAATGATGGGCTGAAAAATGAATTTAATAGCACTACCATGAATTGGTGAACATTTTTTATGCAAATAATTATCAGTTTTTTTTCCTCTGACATGTTAACCACTTCAAGTCCGGACACTTTTACCTCCTTCCTGTCCAGGCCAATTTTCAGCTTTCAGCACTATCACACGTTGAATGACAATTGCGCGGTCATGCAACACTGTACCCATATGAATATTTTAGTATTTTTTTGAGACAGATAAAACTTTATTTTGGTGGTATTTATTCACCACTGGGATTTTTATTTTTTTTTTGCTGCATAAATGAAAAAGTCCAAAACTTTTGAAACAAAGTTTGAAAATAAATAATCTTTCTTCATAGCTCTTGGCCAACATTTATTGAGTTATCTTTTTAGTAAAAAAAAAAAATAACCCAAATTAGTTTATAACCAAAAATTATATTTTTCAAAAAAATTTTTACATTTTTATTTTATTTTTTTATATTATTATTTATTTATGTGGGTTTTTTTTTACATACTGTCACCCTAGCAGTACAGTGTCACCATAGTGACACTGTACTACATGTGGGGGGCGATGAAGATTTTTTTTTTTTACACTGATTGCATTTACACCCATAAAGGCTGTAACAGCAATCATTTCTCCTACTCTCTGGCTGCATTCTTGCAGCCATTGAGAAATACTGTGAGAGCTGTGAATGGTCACAGCTTGCCACATGGTACAAGGCTGTTGTGAATAGCCTTGTACCATGTGACCTCTGTGATCAATCACAGATTTCACTAATAGTAAGCAATGATGTCAGGAACTGACATCTTGCTTACTACTATTCATGTGATCACTGATTGGCCAATCAGTGATCACATGATCGGGACCTCACACAGCGGTCCCATACAGCGATCAGTGTTCTCTGGACACAGTGGGCACCGGATCTCAGTGCCGCGCGCTCCCAGGGAGTATGCACAGGCTGTAAATGGTGGGCGCCGTTTATGAACGTCAACCCGCTGCTGCACTGCTCCTGTCCAGCTGTTTATGTACATGGGCCGGACGGGAAGTGGTTAAAGTATAACTAAAGGTAAAACTTTTTTTTTTCTAGTTTTGGATACAGTTGGGAGGGATTAGAACATCTGCTATCAGCGCCCCCATTAAGGGAGTTTCACCCTCTCTATTTGTCCTGTTTCCCATTATCAATGAAAGTGAAAGTAAAAGTAATAGAGGGAAAATCTTCCAATGAGGGCACTAATTCTGGTGACCTGGGGGTCCCCAAGGAATGTCCTGAATTTGCAGGGATTTCCTCTAATTTCCTGTTTGCTATGGGACAGGAAGTGAAAACTCTCCAATGGGACACAGATGGGAAAAACAAATCTGACAGGGGTGATAACCCTCCCTTGTTCTATCCAAAATGAAAAAAACAACTTTTTCCTACTTTAAAGGGGATTTAAACTCATTGTTTAAATAGCTAGATAAGTCAGATAGAATTATAATATTGTATAAATGTGTAGCATTAATAAACAATACTGTCATTCAAATGAATGTCAACAAATAGCACTATAAAACATAAAGAATTTCATATTTTTATTACAAAATGCAATATTTAAAACATCTTCATGAAATATCACACAATTAACTATTCATCATTGGACAAAATGACCCAAAAACTCATGATGCTAACATGCGTGAATAAATAAATATATGAAAAAATAAATGCTAAAAGTAACAAAATAACAAAAACATTTTAACATACACTGACAATTAAAATGTTAACTATTTGGTGGTGGTGCTGGGGTATTTAACTAAGTAACTTTTTTTGCTGGTCGTGAGATTTGTCTTAAAATACCAATCATATTCAAGAATTTGTTTTATTCTGCTATGGAGTCAACACATGTTGACTTGATCGCTCAAAATGGAAGCTTAGCAAATCACATCCTCAGTGATTCCATTAGACAGCTGTATTTAATATTATTATTTAAATACTACCAATCTGTATACTGCATCCAAGCTACCAGGCAAACATTTTCTTTCAATCTCAGTAAAAATAAATAGTTTTTTATTACACTGAACATTTTCGGTTACTTCCCATGTACAAGTGAAGGATTTATTTTTTAAGTATCAGAGCATCTAACCTGTAATCTCTGGTATATGCAATTTAAAAAATCCTAGTGAGAACCGGCTAGTGAGCCATAAATGATGAAAAAAAAAGTTGCAATTGGGGAAAAGAAAATTTTTGGAAGAAAAAGTATTAAAAACTCCAGACTATGGATATTTTTTTTTCATCTTTTCATTCAAATTTTTTAGATGACATGGCACAAACATTCTGAGAGCACTTAACTTGTTTCGTGGCTCACTATCTTGGAAGTTCATAAGATCCTGAACAGAAATTTTGTTTAAAATTTAGTGAGCTAATAGAACACGGTAGCTTTAAAACCTTCCAATACTTTTAATACAGCCTATTTAACCTCAGTAAGTCAACTTTTCCACGCTGTTCAGTCTGCGCAAGCCTCCAACATTTTTGGAATTCTTTGGAAATCCATGGATGTCAACCAGATAAATATGTTTCCCTTGGATTAACTATCACCTTTTCCAGGCAGACAGAAGGTGCTTGCATTTTATAATGGTTGTGTGAAGTTTGGACTGTATATACCAACAATAAAATGCATTAAAACTATATAATTATATAAACTATATACAATATATACATTAAAGATTCTTTTTGCTCTGTGGGTGAAGAAGCTGAGAAATACAGTAAGGGATGATTCCCACAGCGGCCAGGGGTACAGCAGCACTTTTGCAGAATGAGAGAATGTAGAAAAGCATCTCCACTTTGGTTGGTGGCTTGAATGAGTCAAAAAGGTGTAAAACAATAAGAGAAGCAGCTATGCAGCTCATACGGAAGGTAAATTCACTTCCTTGCTTTCCTCGGCAGCTTTCTTGGTAAAGTTTAGAGCTGAGAGCTAGTCCTAAGCCAAAGAAGATGCCCATGTTTCTAAAAAGGCCAGCAAAAGGAGTAGTGTCGATATGGATCCACTCGGGTCTAGCGCACCATCTCTTTGCCTTCTCCAGGGTCCACAGGAGGTCTACACCAGTAGCTTTTAGGATTAGATAAAGTCCAAGAGCAAAGAAGGTCAGGAAGAGTGTAGTTAAGATGTATTTTTTCAAGCTGACTTTATAGATAGATTGTGTGTGATGGAATGCTTCGGCAACAATGATTCCTGTATGGATAGAACCAAAATCTTAATGAGATTACAACAATTTAATTTTATATATATATATATATATATATATTTAATTGGATAGATATATATAAATAAAAACAAATTATATATATATATATATATATATATATATATATATCATATGCTTTTTACAGCATATATTTTAATGTATACTTTTAAAACATTTGTAATCTACAATGTTCCATTCCTAAACATTTTTGTGAAATTAAAAATCTTTTAAAGTTTATCATCTAAAATATATTTGCTTATAACTATTCATTCTGTGTACCTGAGAGTATTCCAGCCACAAATTGATATATATTTTAATGTTTACTTTTAAAATATTTGTAATCTCCAATGTTTCATTCCTAAAAATTATACTTTTTAAAAATTTTCTTAAAATTAAAAAGCTTTTAAAGTTTAGAATCTAAACAATATTTGCTTATAAATATTAATTCTGTGTACCTGAGAATACTCCAGCCACAACTTGGTTATATATATTTTTAATGTATACTTTTAAAACATTTGTAATCTACAATGTTCCATTCCTAAAAATTATACTTTTTAAAAAATTTTGTGAAATTAAAAATCTTTTAAAGTTTATAATCTAAAAAATATTTGCTTATAAATATTAATTCAGTGTACCTGAGAATACTCCAGCCACAACTTGATATATATTTTTAATGTATACTTTTAAAACATTTGTAATCTACAATGTTCCATTCCTAAAAATTATACTTTTTAAAAAATTTTGTGAAATTAAAAATCTTTTAAAGTTTATAATCTAAAAAATATTTGCTTATAAATATTAATTCAGTGTACCTGAGAATACTCCAGCCACAACTTGATATATATTTTAATGTATACTTTTAAAACATTTGTGGGCAGCACAGTGGCTAAATGGTTAGCACTTCGGCCTGGCAGTACTAGGGTCCTTGGTTCAAATCCCAACCACAGCACCTCCTGCCTAGTGTTTGCATGTTCTTCCTGTGCCTGCATGGGTTTCCTTCTACATTCCAAAGACATGCTGGCAGGTTAATTGGATCCTGTCTAAATTGGCCCTAGTATGTGTATGTATGAATGTGAGTTAGGGACCTTAGATTATACGCCCTTTGAGGGTTAGGGACTGATGTGAATGTACAATATATATATGTGTAAAGCGCTGCATAAATTGACAGCGCTATATAAGTACCTGTAATAAATAATAGTCTACAATGTTCCATTCCTAAAGGTTTTCATGAAATTAAAAATCTTTTAAAGCTTATAATCTAAAAAATGTTTGCTTATAAATATTAATTCTGTGTACCTGAGAATACTCCAGCCACAACTTGATTATATATATGTTAATGTATACTTTTAAAACATTTGTAATCTACAATGTTCCATTCCTAAAAATTATACTTTTTAAAAAAATTTCATGAAATTAAAAATCTTTTAAAGTTTATAATCTAAAAAATATTTGCTTATAAATATTAATTCTGTGTACCTGAGAATACTCCAGCCACAACTTGATTATATATATGTTAATGTATACTTTTAAAACATTTGTAATCTACAATGTTCCATTCCTAAAAATTATACTTTTTTAAAAATTTCATGAAATTAAAAATCTTTTAAAGTTTATAATCTAAAAAATATTTGCTTATAAATATTAATATTGTGTACCTGAGAAGACTCCAGCCAAAACCTAATATGTATTTTAATGTATACTTTTAAAACATTTGTAATCTACAATGTTCCATTCCTAAAAATTATACTTTTTAAAACTTTCGGGAAATTCAAAATCTTTTAAAGTTTATAATCTAAAAAATATTTGCTTATAAATATTAATATTGTGTACCTGAGAATACTCCAGCCAAAACTTGATATGTATTTTAATGTATACTTTTAAAACATTTGTAATCTACAATGTTCCATTCCTAAAAAATTATACTTTTTAAAACATTTTCATGAAATTAAAAATCTTCATAAGTTTATAATCTAACAAAATATTGGCTTATAAATATTAATTCTGTGTACCTGAGAATACTCCAGCCACAACTTGATGTGGGAAATGTGCAGCCAAAAAGATTCTAGATAGGCAGACGCAGACCTGAACGGCCCAAAACCCAGACCAAAGCACTCCTCTCAGGCACCTAAGGGACAGGACAACAGGATTTGTATCACACACCAGTACAAGCTGTGTTAAATGCATCTTACATCACGTGTTAAAAGATGTCATCATTATTCATAGCAACTCCTCTGATTCTACCTGAAAGTTTTTGGTATTTGCCTGATTAGCTGCCTTGAATAACAAAGAGATTTTCTTCATTCTAGTTGTTAGAAATGAGTTTCAATGAAAGAGCTGAGGGTTGCATCTAGTAATGGAAGAAATTATACATTTATGATGAAGTTGTATGGGAACTGCAAACTTGATAATCAGCCTTGTAATCCTACAGATGCCATGGCCTCAATACTTTTTAGTCAAAAATTATAAAAAGTTCTGACTTTTCTTCAGCTTGCATTTGCCGCATGCTTGTTCCAGGTCTTTTCTCAAAAGCATTGAAACTAGACATAGACAACTTGAATTGTCAGAAGACCAGTGGTGCCCCTCTATTAATTTGTCATAATGTGTCATTTTTTAAAAAAAAATTACTTATTAGTTAACAACTCCTAATTGTCATAACCCTGGTAGCACGAAAAACCATTTTATATAAGTGGATCTACCCAGGACCCACCACCATTTCTTTGTTTATAAACAGGGGGGTTGATTTACTAAAACTGGAGAGTGCGAAATCTGGTGCAGCTCTGCATAGAAACCAATCAGCTTCCAGGTTTTATTATCAAAGCTTAATCGAACAATTGGGTAGCACAATGGCTAAATGGATAGCACTTCCACCTGGCAGTACTAGGGTCATTGGTTCAAATCCCACCCACAGCTCGTCCTGCTTGGAGTTTGCATGTTCTCCCTGTACCTGCATGGTTTCCTCTGGGTACTCTAGTTTCCTCCCACACTCCAAGGTAGGTAAATTGGTTCCTGTCTAAATTGGCCCTAGTATGTGTACAGTTGTGCTCAAAAGAACTGTCAAAAGTCCTGCGTAACAAGGTAATGGAACATTATATAAAGATGGAAAAGGACATAAAAAGATGTCCAAAGCTTTGAATATGCCAATCAGTACTGTTAAATCAAATCACCTATTTAGAAGTGGAAAGTTTGGGGATCTCTTGATACCAAGCCAAGGTCAGGTAGACCAAGAAAGATTGCAGCCACAAATGCGAGAAGAATTGTTTGGGATACAAAGGGAAACCCATAGGTAACCACAAGAAAAATACAGGCTGCTCTGGAAAAAGACAGTGTAGTTGTTTTGAAGGAGCACAATATGATGACACTTGAACAAAAATGAGCTGCATGGTCGAGGTGCCAGAAAGAAGCCTTTACTGCATCAATGACACAAAAAGGCCTGGTTAGACATGTCAAGGTGTTGTCAGGCATACTGTAACTGGGATTTTTTGTGGCATTGGTGCAGTAAAAGCTTCTTTCTGGCACCTCGAAGAAACCGCTCATTTTTGTTCAAGTATCACTGTATTGAACTCCAACAACCACACCATCTTTTTCCAGAGCAGCCTGTATATCTTTTGAGGTTGCCTGTGGGTTTTTCTTTGAATCCCAGACAATTCTTCTGTCAGTTATGGCAGCAATCTTTCTTGGTCTACCTGACCTTGGCTTGGTATCAAGAGATCCACGAACTTTCCACTTCTTAATAGGTGATTTAACGGTACTGATTGGCATATTCAAGGCTTTGGACATCTTTTTACGTCCTTTTCCATCTTTATAAAGTTCCATTAACTTGTTATGCAGGACTTTTGACACTTCTTTTCTGATCCCCATGGCTGAGTATCTAGCCTAGTCAGTGCTTCCATGTAAGAGCTAACAAACTCATTGACTATTTATACACTGACACTAATTGCAATTTAAAAAGCCACAGATGTGGGACATTAACCTCTAATTGGCATTTTAACCCTTGTGTGTCACCTTGTGTGTCTGTACCAAGGCCAAACATTCCAGGGTATGGAAACTTTTGATCCGGGCCATTTGGGTGATTTCTGTTATTATGATTTAAAAAGGAGCAAAACAACTATTTGATAAGAAATGGCTTCATATGATCATCATCCTTCAATAAATGAGCATTTTTTGGCATGATCAGTCATATTTTCAATATCAATGCCAAAATTTCACAATTTCTGCCAGGGTACGCAAACTTTTGAGCACAACTGTATGTATGAATGTAAGTTAGGGACCTTAGATTGTACACCCCTTGAGGGTTAGGGACTGATGTGAATGTACAATATATATATGTAAAGCACTGCATAAATGGACAGCAATATATAAGTACCTGAAATAAATGAAAAATAAATAAATAAACAGGCTGAAGTTAGAAGCTGATTGGCTACCATTCACAGCTGAACCAGATTTGGCACTCTCCAATTTTAGTAAATCAACCCCAATGTTTCTTATGTTTTCCGCATGGAATGGGTGCATAAGGTTCAATGGCACCACTATTAACCCATCCCTGCATGTCAAGGTGCTAGGTGTAACGATGGGTTCTGAACTATCCTTTCAGGCCCACATCCAATCCCTGTCCAAATCATGCCGCCTCAACCTCCGCAACATCTCCAGAATACACCCCTTTTTAACCAATGATACCAGAAAGCTTCTAATTCACTCCCTGGTTATCTCTCACCTCGACTACTGCAACTCCCTCCTCATTGGCTTATCTTTACATAGGCTATCCCCCCTCCAGTCCATCATGAATACTGCTGCCAGGCTCATCCACCTTACCAACCGTTCAGTGTCTGCTACCCCTCCCTGCCAATCCCTCCACTGGCTTCCACTCGCTCAACGAATAAAATTCAAAATACTAACAACAACTTACAAAGCCATCCACAACTCTGCCCCCAGGTTTACATCACCAACCTGGTCTCAAAATATCAACCAAACCGCTCTCTTCGATCCTCCCAAGACCTTCTGCTTTCTAGTTCCCGTGTCACCTCCTCCCATGCTTGCCTCCAGGACTTCTCTCGAGCTTCTCCCATCCTATGGAATTCTCTACCCCAATCTGTCCGGCTGTTTCCTAATCTATCCAACTTTAGACGATCCCTGAAAAACTTTTTCTTTAAAGAAGTCTATCCTGCTTCTACCTAGTAAACTGCCATTTATTTCCTCCATCAGCTCATCCCCCCCACAGCTATTACCTTTTGTATCACTCAACCCTTCCTCTTAGATTGTAAGCTCCAGCGAGCAGGGCCCTCTGTTTCCTCTTGTACCAAATTGTATTGTAACTGTAATGTCTACCTTCATTTTGTAAAGCGCTGCGCAAACTGTTGGCGCTATATAAATCCTGTATAATAATAATAAGGTCCAAAAATGTATTTGATATCTGGAAACCTTTGAAACCTTGCCTACAGATACCCAACAATCAATAGTACAATGTTTTCAACATACACAATGGTTTCAAACCAGACTGCTAACCAATGACCCTCCAATTGATATCCTACCCTCCAACTAAAATTAAAATATATTTTGTGCTTTAACAGCTAAAGCCTCTCCTCTTTCCATCATCTGCTAGTTGTTAGACTGACCGCCATCCATCTTTTTGTTTCTTAATGTCCATCCTCTAACCCAGCACTGATACCTGGTTCTCAAATATACTAACAAACTGTATGCTTTCAATTTTGTATTATACTGGCCAAATGTTGTGGGTATTTGTTACCTGCATTCTTACATAACAAAAAATAAAGTAAAAAAAATTTACTTTTTAAACTTTCTGCTTAAAATATTGTAAAAACATGCTAAAACTAATACACTATAGGAATCTCTGTTACTGACTAGAGCTATGCAAAACAGCTTAACTTTTTCAAATATTTTATGGTGTCAACTTAATTTTGCTAGGAGCTAAATGCCAAATTCAACAAAATAAATAAATGTAGTCTACTGCTTGTTTTTTGCAGATGTTTTTGTTAATAGATATTTCTAGCATTTTTTTATTGTTATGAGTCAGCATAAGATCTATGATATTAATTTATGACATATTTTATTGCTGCATTATATGATAAGACACAAATGTTTACACTCACCAGCTTTTTAGGGATGATTCTCTTTTCTTCAACATGATTGTAAGGATGGCAGTTACCATGACGTAATAAATTCCAGCAGACCCCATAGCATGACCTGAAGGGCTTCCTTCAATACCAAGACAAAAAATCAATTAGTGACTGATGTAGTCTGCAGAATCTCACGTCAGCAGCACAACATAGCGAGACAACATAGGAGCAGGAAAGTGTTCTTTAGGCTCCATGCACACTGGTTGTTTTGATCTTAGATTGTAAGCTCCAAGGAGCAGGGCCCTCCTGACCCTCTTGTATTGAACTGTATTGTTGGTGCTATCCTGTATAATAATAATAACGCTGGTAACGTTAGCTGTGTAAAGTCACATTAAAAATGCGAGTTTTTCAGCTTTTTTCTATCGTTTAGCCCTATTTTGGCGTGTTTATGAGCATTTTTCCGAGTTTGCGTTTTTTAGCAGTTTTTTTTTACCAAAAATTGGGGGGGGGGTAAAAAAAAAGCTGAAAACATGGTTTGCGAAATTTTACCGCGTTTTGCTGCATTTTTGGGCAGCATAGTGCCTAAATGGTTAGCACTTCCGCCTGGCAGTACTAGGGTTGCTGGTTCAAATTCCAACCATGGCACCACCTGCCTGGAGTTTGCATGTTCTCCCTGTGCCTGCATGGGTTTCCTTCGGGTATTCCGGTTTCCTTCCACACTTCAAAGACATGCTGACTAAATTGGCCCTAGTATGTGTATGTATGAATGTGAGTTAGGGACCTTAGATTGTATGCCCCTTGAGGGTTAGGGATTGATATGAATGTACAATATATATGTAAAGCACCGCGTAAACTGATGGCGCTATATAAGTACCTGAAATAAATAAATACATTTTTCAGTGTTAGGCTACATTCACACTAGCTTTGTCAGCAGACATCAGACAGGCATTTGGGAAGCGTTTGTTAATGAAAATTGGCAGCACACAGTGCTGTTCACACTGAAGCATTAGCGTTGTGTCATGTAGCGGCAAAACTGACACCTCAGGGTTTATTTACTAAAGCTGGAGAGTCCAAAATCAGACTCCCTTCTGCATAGAAACCAATCAGCTTCCAGGTTTCATTGCCAAAGCTTCATTGAACAAGCTGAGGTTAGAAGCTGATTGGTTTCTATGCAGAAGGGAGTCTGATTTTGGACTCTCCAGCTTTAGTAAATAAACCCCCTCGTGTCCAGTCAGGAGGAGTTGAAGCCTCCCATTCAAATCTATGGTGCAGCTCCTCAAACACCTGGCAGGCGTTTGGGTTGCAGTTGCAAGATGGTTTAGGAGCGTTAATACCATTTAACTTCATTATAGGCATTTGTGGTGTGGTTTTAACGCTTCAACCGCCTCAAAACCACTCATAGGGCGTTTGGGGAACGTTTAAGGAGCGCTAAAAACGCTTCCTGTGTAATGCCTGTCAAAGGATATAGGGGCGTTTAGCAAGAGTTAGAAATAAAGTCAAGTGTGAACGAGCCCTTAGAGCGCGTTTTACAGCTAAAAACTCTAGAAACCCACTAGTCCTGGGTTTTTTTTCCAGCCAAAAAACGTCCCTGCCAGAAAACATTGATTACAGTCTATGTGTGCATGGATACATAGGAGAACATACTGGAGGGTTTACTAGCTGCAGAAAAAAGCGTCAAATGCCAAAAACAGCCGCTGTAAAAACGTCCAGTGTGCATGTGGACTTATGCTCTGTTAATGATCACCAAACCACAAGTTTGTTGACAACTAATCTATTAAAAAAAGCCCTAAAAATTGTTTATAGACTATTGGTTTCCATTACCTGGTCCTGTTTCACATGTTATAGGAAACTGTTCAATGACTGGAGCAGAGGTGTTTCCATAATGATTAGTTTCATGAACCCACCAATATGGTCTTTGTCCAAAAAGAATCCTGAAAGCAAAATGAAAATTGTAATAAACAGTAAATAGCAATGCCTAATAAAAACGTATTGCATATGTTGTGTACAATTGTCATATTTTACAGTATGTGATGAAATTCAAAAATCCAATATTATTATTGTTTGTTCTTTCAAATACTTGACTTTATTTTTAAAGCACCTGCATGAGACATTTTGGGGATGATTTACTAAAGCTGCAGAGTGCAAAATCTGGTGCAGATCTGCATGGTAGGCAATCAGTTTCTAACTTCAGTTTGTTCAACTAAGCTTTGACAAAAAATACTGAAAGCTGCACCAGATTTTGCACTCTCCAATTTTAGTAAATCAACTCATTGCATCTTGTGTATGTCATTAAAGGAATAAAGCTTAGTACACATAATCAGAAAATCTTGCAAACAATACTGCTTTCAAAGTAATCTGATTGTTAGCACACAACTTTCATCCTTAATTATTTGATGGGACAAGCACGAAAATATTTCTACAGCGCTGAGCAAACTATTGGCGCTATATAAATCCTGTATAATAATATATAAATAATAAGTTCTCGTACGATACCAGATCGTACAATTTTTATTTAATCGATACATCCAAAAATACAATACAAATACATTAGATCACTTCTAAATTTTTATTCTGACGTACAAAATTTTTGTAACTTTAGTAACCTTTTCACTTTCAATATGAGACTAGCATGCAAAAGAAAACGGACGATCATTCATCCAATATTCTCATCGTGTGTACAGGGCTTTAGGTAAAGGTTAAATGCACTAGTTAGAGATATCCCTGATTTGTTTGCCATCATAGGAATACAGGACAGAGAAGACAGAAACATGAATGACTTATTTTTCAGTGAAAATCAAATTTTTTTTAAATATGTTGGTTTTTTTAATAATTATATTTCTGTACTTAATGTATAAAAAATATAATTTTTCCATTTTTTCTTATAACAATTCATACATTTACCATTATTTTGCAAATAGTTTTTATCAACAGAGCTAAAAGCCTAATAGTAATGTGTTTTCAGCATAAAGTTGGCATTATTTTAACATTTCTTTTTATTTTATAAAAAATAGAGGAAAGAAAGGTATGTGTTGACCCTAGCAAACATTTATATTTTGGCTATAACCTATTAATTACATCTACATTCAATGTGTATAAATTTAACCAAATAGATAAAACATTAAAAAAGAATTTAAACTTTTTATATATAAGCCAAGGTTGTTGCTCATGATATACTCACCACTTAAAGACAAGATTAAGCCAGTCGCCAATCACAGCCACCCAAATGAGTTTGATGCCCACTGATTCACAAAGGTGGAACCAAATGGGAAAGAAGATGAAGAAGGTATTTCTGAGATCGGCAGCAAAGGAGATGAACATGAACCAGTCCTGCGAATTCATGTAATTACTCTGAAGGTAGTGGACCATCTGGACTCCAGAATCATGTAGGGCATCCATTCCATTCTCCATCGTTGTATCAGTTAACGAGCTGTAAAGCTGTACCTATTTGAATTGGTATTTCTCTCTGTGTGCTCTGTCTCTCACTGGATGCCTTGAGCAGTATTTATACTGTCCCCGTCCTCCTGTTTACAACAAAAAAAACCTGCTTGCTGACCTTTGGACCCAAAGAAAAAAAAAAAAAGTTACTTTGGTCAAAGGAAAAAAACAGGGCTGTCGATCAAAGGTAATGTCACAAACATGTTTGGTACAATGCAAGTGAAAAACAGTTCAATATGCCAACTTTGTATTCTGGAAGAACAGTGTTCAACCCTGACCCTGAAGATCGTTTCAGGGTATTGGGAGTGGTGATATGACAAGATTTATGTAATAAAGCAGTCGGAATAAATAGGTGAAACAAACATATTTTTTTACACTGTGTACATTCCTAAACAAGTTAAGAAATCAGAAATCTAGTTTTGTGAATTAATTTGAAAAAATTCTGGAAAAAAGACAAAACAACTTTAAATAAAGCAGTTTTGTGTTTTTTTTTTTTTTTTTTTTTTAATTGAATAGTGAAACAAGACATGTATTATTGAGAGCTTATAGGTGTTTTTTTTGATGAATACAATTTGTCCTGTAGAAATGTATGGTGTGTTTAGGGGCATTTTGTGTTTATTATTTCATTGTGCATTTATAGCTATCATACAATATTATTATTATACTGGATTTATAAAGTGTGAACAGTTTGCACAGTGCTTTACAATATAAAGGGAGACAGTACAATAAAATACAAGAGGGTCAAGAGCTTACAATCTAATAGAGTGGGGCAAGTGGTAACAAAAGGTAATAACTGTGAGGGGATGAGCTGTCGGAAGAATTAAAAGTTCAATTGTTAGGTGGAGGCGGGAATAGGTTTCTCTGAAGAGATGAGTTTTCAGGGATCGCCTAAAGGTGGCCAGAGTGGGAGAGAGCTGGAATGATTGAGGTAGAGAATTCCAGAGGATGGGAGAGGCTCTGAAAAAGTTTTGGAGATGAGCAAGGAAGGAGACAAGAGAGCTAGAGAACAGGTCTTGAGAGGAGCTGAGGCTCCAGTTTCGGTGATCTTTTGAGACAAGATTGGTGATGTAGCTCAGGGCAGAATTGTGAATGGCTTTGTATGCTGCTGTTGTTAGGTGGAGGCGGGAATAGGCTTCTCTGAAGAGATGAGTTTTCAGGGATCGTCTAAAGGTGGCCAGAGTAAGAGACAGCTGGAAAGATTGAGGTAGAGAGTTCCAGGGGATGGGAGAGGCTCTGAAGAAGTTTTCGAGATAAGCAAGGAAGGAGACAAGGGAGCTAGAGAATAGGTCTTGAGACTAGCAGAGCGGCCGGTTTCGGTGATCTTTTGAGACAAGATTTCTGATGTAGCTCAGGGCAGAATTGTGAATGGCTTTGTATGCTGCTGTTAGTATTTAGTTAGTTAGTATTGAATTTAATTCACTGGGCAAATGGAAGCCAGTGGAGGGATTGGAAGAGAGGGGCTAAGGTAGATGCTAAGGTAGATGAGTCTGGAATCAGCATTCGTGATTGACTGAGATGGGGATAGCCTGTATAGAGTTAGGCTTGAGAAAAGGAAGTTGCAGTAGTCAAGGCAAGAATACAGGGGACTGAATGAGCAGCTTGGTGGTTTCATTAGTTAAAAAGGGGTGAGTTTAAGAGATTTTATGGAGATTAATCTACTCGTTTTTGACAGTGATTGAATTTGGGGGGGTTAAAGGACAGGTCAGAGAGGAGGGGTGAGAGGAGGGACTAACAGTTGTATTATTGATCTTTATGGAAAAGTCAGGGGAAGGGTATGGGTGGGTGGGGGGGGGGGGGGTAGGGCGAGGTAATATTACAAGTTCGGTTTTAGAAAGTTTTAGTTTGAGGAAGTGGTGTGACATCCATGTTGATATGTCAGTTAGTAAGTTAGTAAAGAGAGAGGATACTGAAGGAGTGAGGTGAGGAGTACAGAGATAGTTTTGAGTGTCATTGGCGTAAAGATGATATTGGAAGCTATGGGAGGTTATGAAGTGTAGCACTACCCCCCTTAGGAGTTGCTGAAGTTTTGGGTTCCCCTATAGTCCTGCACAGCCAGGCAACATGCATTTGCACATAGCCTTGCGTCCAGAAGTCAGTAACCAGCCCTTGATCTTGTTTTGAAGTTTTATTAAGGGATTTGGAACTTAGATGTCCAATGGAACTGAGAAATTGGGGACAACTTCCTGAACTATATACAAGCCATTACAGCAAAACTGTCTCTTCTGGAGAACTAGCCAGCATCTTCTGTAGTACCACCGCAGACCCTAGATACTCCTTATCCAGTTGTTCTGGGGAAAACTGCCACATAAATGGTGAAACAGTCCTGGGTGGCAGGCTAATCCAGTTTCCAATAGAGTGCCTCCTTCCCCTATCTGGCCCAGAGGGTGCAGGTCTGCTCACTCAGTCCTGGGTCGGTGGCTGCTACCAACCTTTTAACTGGGCCACTTCTTCCCTGCCTCACAGGTGGTCCTCTCTCAGGGGGCTGGTGAAGTCCTGAGTTTTCCTCCTTCCAACATCCTCTGCCCGTAGGTGAACCCCTCTCTATCTGGGTCCCCTCCCAGGCTCCTCTCTCCAGCCTCACATCCTCCTCTTCCACCCGAACTCTCCTCCAACTCTCCTATTACTGAGCAGGCTTGGTTAATCTTAAAGGTTGTCCTGGACCCTTGCCAAGCTTCCTGTTGGGGATTGACCAGGATCCTCTAGGAATACAGACCAGCCACTCCTCAGATCCACCCACTGCTTCTAGAACTTTCTCCAAAGTTCTAGAACGGGGAAATTCCAGAGCGCTGGTCTGCAGAGCCTCTCAGCTCTGACCACAATTTGACCCCTGTTAGGTATCACACCCAAGCTGCTACTCAGCCCTAACTAACAACTGGAGTATAGCTCCCCCTAGCTGACTAGGAGGGTGCTACACGAGTGAAGAAGGGGTGCAGATAGAGAAGAGAAGGGGTCCAAGAACAGCTTTTGGAGCCTAAGGGTACCCCTACAGAAAGAGGATGTGGAGAAGAGGAGACAGAGTTGTAGGTAACACTGAAGGAGTAGTGTGATAGATAGGAGGAGAACCAGGGAAGAGCAGTATCTCGGAGGCCAAGGGAGTGGAGTTTATTGAGGAGCGGGTGGTCAACAGTATCAAAGGCTGGAGTCAGTATAACTTTAAGTGTAAGTTCAAATCCCCCTAGGCATTTCTATATCATATAAATATTACAATTGTACTCCTGTTTTAAATGATGCATAACAATGCGCCCCCATGAAAACTGCATATGTGCGCTCTCCCTGCTGAGCTCAGAAGCAACAGCAATGGACATTCAAACTGCATGCGTGTGCAGTGCATGCGCTCCTTCTCTAGCTGAGGTTCTTCTTCCATTCTGTCACTCAGGCCTGTGGAGCAAAAGCATAATACCCTAGGTGGCTGTTCACACCTGACACTTCATGCAGCTGGTAGCAGACGTACATGTGTGGTGTATCAGTGAAGCATTTTTTTTATTTCAGGCGCAGTATAGTTTAGAGAAATCTGTGTCATGTTATATGGTCATGTACAGTATTTTTAGAAAAGCTGATTTTGCAACGCAACTTCTGGTTTTACACTTCCGGACAACATTCTGCCTATATATACTGTCCACTTCTCCCACAAATTGTAAGTTCATCAACACTGTTCACTTTTATTCTGATGACACTGTGACAGCATGTATGAGCTTCAATAACAACAGAAAAAAAACAGGAACAGAAGGTAACATTAGCATTGTGCTTCTGTCACTCCATGTCAGTCTTCATTTTAGAGATTATATAGATTATATAGATTAAACAGACACTAGAACTTTCTGTTTCACTGGAAGATTCTATTCATTAACCCTTTAGTGTCCAGTCTCCAGAGAAATTGTGTTTATTTATTTCAGGTACTTATATAGTGCTGTCAATTTATGCAGTGCTTTACATATATATTGTACATTCACATCAGTCCCTAACCCTCAAGGGGAGTACAATCTAGGGTCCATAATTTACATTCATAGATACTAGGGCCAATTAACCTACCAGCATGTCTTTGGAGTGTGGGGGGAAACCCACCAGGGGCGGACTGACCATTTGAAAACTCGGGCACTGCCCGAGGGCCCAGGGTCAGTAGGGGCCCCATGAGATTCCCTTGGTACCTTTTTCATAGGCTTTTTTGAGTTTGGGCAAGGACACAGGGGCCCCATGATCCCCTATTGCCCGGGGGCCCCATGAGTTGTCAGTCCGCCCCTGAAACCCACGCAAGCACAGGGAGAACATGCAAACTCCAGGCAGGTGGTGCCATGGTTGGGATTTGAACCAGCGACCCTAGGGGAATTGGGGGGATTTGTGTTAGGAAGGGGCGGTTGGAGAGGAATTTGTACTAGAAGGGGGAATTGGAGGCAATTTGTGTTAGGAAAGTGGATTGGGAGTTTGTGCTACGAGGGGGATTTGGGAGGAAATTTGTGCTAGGAGAGGGGATTGGGGGGAATTTGTGCTAGGAGAGGGAATTGAAGGGGGAATTTGTGCTAGGAGAGAGGATTGTGGTGGATTTGTGTTAGGAGGGGATATGGGGGGGTTGTGCTAGGAGAGGGGGGAGGATTTGGGTGGGGAAGAAGAATTTATGCTGGGAAGGGTAACTTGGAGGGGGTTGTGTTAGGAGGAGGGATTTAGGAGGATGTGAGCTAGGAGGGAAGATTAGGGAGATTTATGCTAGGATGGGGGATTTGGGGGAGAGGGTTTGTGCTAGGGTGGAAAATTTGAGGGAAAAGAGGATGTGTGCTAAGATGGGTAAGTAGAATTGCAGGTGAAATTGTACTTTTCAGGGAGGGGGGTGCAAGTAGCTGCTCTTGCTTAGGGTGCAAAATACTCTAGCACAGGCCCTGCTTACACACTTACAGAGCACTGCAGATTGTAAATGGTTTGGAAAATTTGTTGGCTCCCTTGAGATGTGTGCCACTGCAAGTTAAATAATTTTGTGAGTATAG